AAGATTTTCTTATGGCTCAAATAATTAAATCTGACAATATACCTCGAAATGAGTTATAATTTTTAAAATTCATTTGAAGTCAATTCAAAGGTATTTCTGTAACTTTTCTTCACATACAAATCTTAACATGTCATTTCCTTTTTTTTTTTTTTTGATTTTTCTAGAATTTTTGGACTTATTTTTCATCTTTGCCCTTTTCGGCCTAAAACTTTGTAAAATTATGATTTCGTCCCTGGTTCGCTCAACCTCAAGAATCATTTCTCTACGATCTTTAGTACAACTTTTAGTCCTCATTCATCTCTATTTTTTATTCCTGGGCCTCGAGACTTCACTGGAGTCTTTAACTTCTTCTTATTTCAATCATAGAAAACTTTCGTTTTATGATTTAGTGTACAGGAATCCCTCTGTCCCGTCAGAAAAACTCTGGGACTCTTGTCATAAGGAGTCTAGTAACCTTCTCATTTTAGGCTATTTTCTACATCGTTGGGTCCAAAATTTGAGATGTTACAGATGGTATTCAATTAATGGGTTGCCTCAGTTTCTATGAGGCTGAAAATGATATTTGGCCTTGAGCCATGGGATAGAGGAGGCTGCTTACCAGCAGTAAATGATTATTGATACCGGTCTCATTGAAATTTCAGGTCTACAATGGAAATAATTTTTCTGATTTTGTAGTTATCAATTTATTTGTGTTATGTCATAATGTATAACCTTAATAACTGAAAAAATATACAGATTTCTTTGGCAGCAAATGACCATGCAAACAACTTTGATTTTTTTCCCCCCAAATCGATTATTTATTGGCTATCCTTGTTATATATTTGTTGTTCCTAAGGAGACTAGAGAAGGAAATGCTTTCCTGATGGAAATTGCTATGATTTAATAGTAAACCTACTCCTTTCGTCCTTCATGTATTGATGACATATATGCACTTTTATTGGTACGCAAATCACATTTAACATGTGATTTTTCTCTGGCCCGAATCCGTATATTTGTTTCCTCATATTAGCTGGTTAATGGGCCATGACTCTTGGGCATTCATTGAGTAGATTCTTCAGAAGAATCACAAGGCTTTTTATTAGTTAATAGGTTGGAGTCCTCGTCTTTTTTGCTTTTTTTTTTTTGGCCTTAACTAGTTTCTTACTTTATGAGTCTTTATTTTTCTTTATATCCATTTTCTATGATGATTGGTTGATTCTTTTGTCACCTACCTTCACCTATAAATTGCAAGCATTGTGTTTGCTGTAAAATAAAAAATTTCACACTGAAATTTGCCGAGTGGCATGATGGTAATTGAGCTGAACTTATATACTGGATGTGAAACTGTGTGAAGAAAAACACGTTGATTTATTCAGCAGTTGAACTTCTTAAATAGGGGAATCAAGCATAAATTTAATTATTGTTCGGGTATATGTCCTGATTATCCTTTTCGTGTGTGTGTCAATGTGGTTTCATAAGCATCCTATATGTTTCTTTTTATGTTTTGCCACTCAGGTTTTAAGACTTGATTGTCGTTGCTTAGTGCAAAGAAGTTTGAAGTGACCAAGCTTTATTTTGGACACCATTCCGTCTTTTTCCAAGTTCTTAATCCCCACAGATACAATGAATTTTACGTTTTACAGAATTAAAGTACCTTAGTGGTTAATTCTTATGTTGCAATGTTTTTGCCATTGCCAACCATGCTGAAGCAACATTCATGGACCACTAAAATTATGATATTTTACTGTTGTTCCGGGGTTGAGCATGTCTCATTTGAATATGCTGCATTGATGGACTGTTGTTTTTACATTATGATTTACCAGCTATATAACTTTTCACGAGAAGTGATTAATCCTCAGCTAAAACAGGTGACCATTAGATCATGCTTGGGTGGAATGAACAATGTTTAGTTATGGAGTTCCTGTAAATCAGTTGTTCATAGGACAAACTTTGTAATATGAAGCTTATCATGGTTTAAAAAAGTTAGTAGTACTTGAGTTGAGTGGTTAACAGTGAAAAAGAGTTTTCTTTCTCTCTTTGGATGGGAAAAAGAGTTTTCTTTCTCTTCTGTTATTATGCCATCAACCAAGAAAAGGGTGTAATATTTATGATTAAGATCGTCTTCTGGATGTCAATAAGGGGGTAATATCTATATGCTTTAGTTTTGGTAGAGTTTACCGATCAAAACTTCAAGGATGAAGATCAAGGGGCTCCTTCAAGCTGTGTGCCTATCGATGAAAGGTTGAAGACAGCTTCAGCTGATGATGCTTCGAGACATGATCATGTACTGTTTAGTATTTATATGTTTGTTTGCAACCATATCAAGTACTTTTCAAATCGGTAGCTTACATGTTCAAATTCCTTTTCGTTTCAGGTTGTGCCTATTGAAAAGTTTTACTCAACTTTCAGGTAGTAACCATTCATCCTCGAAAAATAAAAGACATGATGAATTGCTATCAGAACTCCGAGATAGCTTCCATCCACCAAAATCTGATCTGCATTACTTTCTAAAAGGTAGCTAATCAGTTGCAACTCAAAATCGAAGGCTTGCATATCACAGCAGATGCTGATAGAACTAAAGGGACAACTACACTTGGTGCCCTTGTTCAAGAAATTTGCGGGGAGACTCGCACGAGGCAACTCACAAGTCATTTGGCCACTTCTTACATACTATTCTTGTAGTATTCTTTCATTGTTTTCCCTTGAGCTTTTTATCAGCTAATTTGTGCTTTTAATTGATCCAGATAGAAAATTTGAATATGCGGTTTCATTCTACGTGGTTCTACAGTTCTGTGGCGTTGAATTGTTGGGTATGTCTTTTGTTCAGTTGTGAGGCTCTGTTGCACAGGTTGTGGCATCCTTGTACTACATACTGTGCAGGACTATGATGCACCATTTCTATTGGCCCTATGTCCCATTTCGGGTTAGGAAACTTTAAAATAGACTTGCTCTAAATATTATATATAAATTAAATCAAATACGACTAGCCATATAAATATTTACTGTATTTTATTTTATTAGCAAATGTAATCTTATATGTTTATTTACCATTAATTCAGTCCATGTATCTTTAAGAAATCAAATTTAAGTACGAATTTGATTTGAGATTTATCCTGAGTTTGGGATCCCGGAAGAACGCAAATTTGATGACCGAGCACTGTATTCTATGACCTTGCCAAATATCAAATCAAAAGCATATCTGTTTTATTATTGATGACTGGTGATTGTTGATTATTGAAGTGCCTTGGTTCACCTAAAGATAGCTGATCTCAGCCGAATTAGTTGAAGTATACTTTTGAAGATGGCCAAACTCAATGTTTCATGTGAACCACTAACCCCAATCAATACTTAACCACCCCACCCGCTACAACACAGTCTGCCCTCCTCAACTACGTAGGTTCGTTTGTCAAGTTCTTTTCACTTTCTCCATTTTTAATAATAATAATAATAGGCTAACATATTTTAAAAATTACTCATGATAAATTTATTATCTGTTTGAGGTTGAAAAATGATACCCAGTCATTTACGATGGAAAAAAAATAAAAACCCTAAATTATCTAACATTTAATTTTTTTAAAATGAACAAATCATACAAAGAATAAAATGATAAGTTTAAATTTAACATCTTTTTATTACTATCTTGTTATCTATGTTTTACTCACTTAACTCTTAAGTAACACAAACATCTACAAATGGTCAAAACCCAAATTAGTTATCAAGAAGATAAATACTTTTTAAGTTTTTACTGCTTTCTTCCCTATCAAACAAATTACTTTCGAGTTTATTTATAAAGGTAAATGATAATTAAATTACAATTTTAAGTACTCTTGAAGAAAGTAATATTTATAACAAATAATAAAGGGGAGATATTATTTCATATCCTAAAGAAAAACAAAAGAAAAAGAAGTTTTAAGTCCCACGATAGCCACAAATGATTGTCATTTATACTCTCTTTTTGTTTTTCTTTTTTTAATGCCAAACTTTGTACCTAAGCGAAGAAAGCAACCTCTCCAGATGGTCCATGCTACTTTCGTAGGTTGGAAGCTTTTTGATTGCTCTCATTAATTTCAATTAATTAGTATCAAGTTTTGAGTATTTCTCATTAAATCATTTATTTAAAATAAATATATAACAACTGATTTCTTATAAAAAGGCCAGCATTACCCATCGTCAAACTCTTCAATTCCAATTATTCATTGTAGTCATCGTAGTTTATATTTTTCCAATGATAGGAACTTACTTCTAGTCATTTCTATCTCTTAATTTCATTTAACCTTAATTTTATTCTATATATTCTATTTATGCCACCTTTACTTTTATCCTTTAAATTCACTCAGTTTTAATTTGATTTCTTAAATTCACTCTAATTTTTTACTTTTATCTCCTAATTTCATTAATTCAAATTTGATTCATATTTTATTTCCTTAACAAACCATTTGGCAGTCATGCTGTTAACTAATCTGATCGTGGCATTCAACACTCTCAATTAATTAGGTCCCAATCGGGAGAAACTCTCTTAATGTGATTCATTAATATTATCTTAGCTTTCACTTTTTTTTTCCCCTTAAATTCAATTTATATTAATTTCACCTTTAAATTTTAAAATTACTTAAATATTTTTTCTCTTTATTTTAAAAATTTCATTTATCATTCTAATTTTGATAGGGTTAGAAAGATGAGTAGCCTTAAAAATTTGAGATCAGAACAAAATTAATTAATTAGAAGATTTACAAATTTATAAGTAAATTCTGTTTATCGCTATTTATTAAAAGTACACTCTACAAACATATGAAAGGGGTTAATGGGCTATAAATTCATTAAAAAAAACTTAAACTAAAAATATTTAACACATTTTTATTTTAGAAGTATGTTTATGTTTTTAAAATAAAAATGTTTTATATAACTGGGCCAGAAAATAGTTATGATAATATATATATTATATATATTTATATGAATCTTAGTTCATCCGAAATAAAAACAACACACATTACTACCGCACACCGTAGACTTTGGATTGAACGTGGAAAAGCCGGTGTTTCTTCCTTCCTGAAAGTCCAAGTCTTCCTTTCCTTCTCCCCGAGACCCAGTCTCAGCAATCAGCATTGAACCCTCTCCCAACCCTTCCCCTTTCGCATGTAAACTAGTCGAAGCTATAACAGAACTTTGTTCAGTTACAGATCGCGGTTATTTCTTCAAAGCTTCTTTCTTTAAGTCTCAGAATTCTTGGTTGTCGGGAGCATTTAATTTAACTTAATGGGTCTATTGTCAAATCATAGAGGCTCAAGAACAGAGACAAACCAGGAAACTTTACCGGTTTCCACAGCTGGTTTATCGGTGCCGCCCAAGAAGAGATGGTCCAATCTAATGCCGCTGTTCGTGGCCCTTGTGGTCATAGCAGAGATCGCCTTCTTGGGTAAGTTGGATGTGGCGAAGAACACAGTTATGGTCGATACGTGGGCGGACTTAATTTACTGGTCTCCTGAAGTCGTACCAAAAGATGATTTGGGAATAGCTCATGAAGTCGTACCAAAAGATGATTTGGGAATAGCTCATGAAGTCGTACCAAAAGATGATCTGGGGGTAGATATGCTGGGTAGGGGTCGGAGTTCAGAATCTGAGAGCTGTGAGGAGTGGTTAGAGAGGGAGGATGCTGTGACGTATTCAAGGAACTTCACAAAGGAACCTATTTTGGTTAATGGAGCTGAGCAGGTTTATTGAATTTTAACTCTTCATTGTACTTTCCTTATATGCGTTCCTATTGAAGAAGATCAGCTAGCCGTTGACGAATAAGTATCACTACTCTCATCCCCATTTTATAAACATAATAGTCACTTCTGTTCCTCCTCTTAAAGTGTTGAACTTGAATTATTGGTGAGCCAGTTGACTTCAATCAAATTTAAGTTGTTATCGCCTGATAGGTATATGTTTTCGGCATGCTTATGGATACAAACTACTGCACTTTGTCTAAGTTGATAATGCTCAAGAGTTAATGCACTGTAACAATGTCTATCATTCTGGGAATGCATATATGGTCTAGTGTTGATTGGTAAATAAGTAATCAAATATTAGAATGAACTTTCCTATAATTGTATATATTTCCCTGTTTACTTGATTGGCGAAAATCACTCTGGAAAAACTTTAGGTACTTAACCATGTGCATGCTGGCAAAGTGTCGCTCTATTGATGATCCTGTCCACATAACATTAGTAAAGTTTTAACTGGCATGATTTTCTTCTTCTTTTTTTCATGGAATCATATGAATTATGTTTTCAAGGTTGGTATTATCAAATCATTTTTTGTCATTACTAGATCGCTCTATATATTTACTTGTGAAACAATGTTGATATATTTAATTATACAAGGTACTCTGCAGTTTATGATGCTTTTCTATTGTTGAATGCAAGTTTTTCCGCTGATCCTCTCTGGGCTTTTATTTATTTCTCTTAACTATCTAATGTTCTTTATTTTTTCCCCTCATTTTTTGATTCATGCAAACTCTATACACAGGAGTGGAAATCTTGTGCCGTTGGATGCAACTTTGGTTATAATTCAGGTATCAAACCTGATGCAGCATTTGGCATACCTCAGCAAGGTGGAACGGCTAGTGTTCTGCGATCTATGGAATCTTCGCAATACTATGCAGAGAACAATATGCAATGGCAAGACGGTGGGTAAGCACTATCATAAAGCATTAAGTCCTTAGGTTAAACCATTTTTGGCTTTTGTGCTGTACAACCTGATCACGTTGCTTTTGTGTTTCTATAATTCCATCGAACGGTATTCTAGTGTAGAGAATTTACCTAGCTGAATGCCATGGGATTGTGGATCCAGTGAGTGTGAAAATAACCTTGAGGACAAGACTAACGTGGTAAATGGCTGATAATTTGCAAATGATATAATTAACAAGTAATGACTAATGTAGAATAAAGACTATTATAGGTTTTGCCTTTGCTCAAAATATCATCCCCCCCCCCCCCACTCGTGGAGAAGGGTAAATAACTAATACTTTTATGTCTTGTATACTAGGAGGGGATATCACATTGTAATGACAACCAGTCTATCATCTGATGTTCCTGTTGGATATTTCTCTTGGGCTGAGTATGACATTATGGGACCTGTACAACCGAAAACTGAAAGTGCCCTTGCAGCTGCTTTCATTTCCAATTGTGGTGCTCGAAATTTCCGGTTGCAAGCTCTTGAGGGTCTTGAAAAAGCAAACATCAAGATTGATTCTTATGGTGGTTGCCATAGAAACCGTGATGGAAGAGGTACATTCTAGTAATTTAATATCTTTTCAAATCTTTTGTGCTTCTTTTAATGGAGTTATGTTGTCAGAGTTGCCACTACTTTGTGCTGATGACCCCATCAGGCCTTTCTCAAATTGAAGTCAGTGCCTCCTCCGCCCTAGGATTGCTCAATGATTATTTTTTGTTTGATCATCAATTCCCCTTTTTCAATTGTTGATTTTTCAATTTATCATTTCTGAAAATCTTGGACAAGTCATTAGGTGATTGGCCATTGGGTCTCAAAATTAGACATGGTAAGACTAATCCAGCTATGACGTGCTCGCAGATGCACATGACTCCCAACAAAAGATTTTTAATCCATGAAATATCCAGTTTTGTTTGTAAATAAAAAGGGGGGAAAATATCCAATCTAACTCCTAAGCTGTCAGGTTGTCATCCAAGACGAGGTTCCGAGGCTCTTAAACTGCATCCCATGTCTACGATTCTGGATCCATTTAATTTCAGTTTTTCATTCAATATTCTGTATGTCAAGGTGGTGGTTGGGCCTATTTCATCAGATGAAAAGAATTGACTGACTGCAAATATATTGTACTACAAACAGTACAAGATTTTTGTTTTACCCTTTAATAGTAGACGAAATTTTACTAAGGAGAAGTTCTTTGGAAGCAGAAAAATCTCTATGTCTCTCCTAAGCATTTTAATAGCATACTTTTATCAATTCCCTCCTTTTAAACATCAGTGTAAATCATTGTGATGATTCTCAAACCTTGATAATTTAAATGCAGTAAGGGATTGGCTCATATAAGGATCATTTTTCGTAGGTTTTTTTTATTTTCTTGTTTATAACAATGCCATCCATTTTATTTATATGACTTTGTTGCTTTGTTGATATTATTTTACATTATTGCAGTGGACAAAGTGGAAACCCTGAAGCACTACAAATTTAGCTTGGCATTTGAGAATTCAAATGAGGAGGATTATGTAACTGAAAAATTCTTCCAATCTCTTGTTGCTGGTATTGGAAATAACTTTTGCTTTTATACCCTCATTCACACTTACTAGATGTGCAACTTGACTATGTAACACAACTTTCTTTTTCTTGGCGTTAGAAATACTTCCATGAGGCCCTCGCATTTAATCTGTTCATTTTGCTGTTCTTTGGCCCAACTATTTCTGCATTTCCTTCAGTTTCCGATATATTATTGGAAAATTATATACTTGGGATTGAGTACACACTGTTAGATGTAACTTGACTGTTATTTATGATAAATGTTGCGTCATAAATGTATTGGATAAGATAGATAGTTTCCTTTTATATTCTTGATAAAAAGTTATTGATTAATTGTAGGTGATCAACTTGCATAATGCTGCTTTTGTGGCTAAACTCTTTTCAGTCTAACCTAATAATGACCTCATGAATTCAATTCTAAGATATTCATGGGAACTAGCAGCATGACGGCCCTCTGTAAGTGAAGGGGCTTTGGAAGAGCAATATAACGTAAATTATTAGAAATTATGGAGCTTACAGAAAAATGAAGGATATGCTTGACATATGGATGAACAGAAAAATGCTAGTAACATTTGTAATTGGTTCTCCATCCTTGAAAATTGTCGTGCATCTTAAAATATTTGCAATAACCTTTCATGCTTCTAATCTAGAAATTAATCTCTTTCATCGTAGGTTCTGTTCCTGTTGTGGTTGGCGCTCCAAATATTCAGGATTTCGCCCCAGCCCCTGGTTCAATTTTACATATTAGAGAGCTAGAAGATGTTGAATCAGTCGCCAAAGCCATGAAACACCTGGCAGAGAACCCCGAGGCATATAACCGTTCACTGAGGTGAAAACAGTGAAACTTGAGTCTCTTCCCTAGCCTGAAAACCCCCACATCTAGTAATGCTGTCTACTTGTCCCCTTTTCTGTACTCCTCTCTTTTGCAAGTGCTTACATTCCATGCAGTTATTCTTTATCAGTCAGTGCTTAAAACTGCTTTTCACTGACCTAACACCAAAACTGAACTGTGTAACATTATCAAATCAGGGCAGTGTGATGTTTTTACATTGTCTCCCAAAGAATTAACCAATAAACTTGAGCTTTATAATGTCAGAGCGGCTTACTATTATCTGGTTTTGATATCTGAATGCACCATCTTGATTTCATTAGGTTTTCAAAACGTAACTAGATGTTGGCATTGTGTTCTTTCTCTACTTAAATGATTAATATAAACACTTGTGTCATCTGTTGATTTAGATGGAAGTATGAGGGCCCATCTGATTCTTTCAAGGCCCTTGTGGACATGGCGGCAGTACATTCATCTTGCCGCCTTTGCATTCACTTGGCCACAACGATTAGAGAGAAGGAAGAAAAGAGCCCAGGCTTCAAGAAGCGCCCCTGCAAGTGCAATAGAGGTTCAGAAACTGTATATCACATATATGTGAGAGAAAGGGGACGGTTTGAGGCGGAGTCCATTTACTTGAGGTATGCTTCTTAGTTCTTACTTCAACCAGTGTTCTTTCTCTCTAAGCTATAATCTATCCAAGTTACCATCAGTCATACAGACTACCATTTCAGATATTTCTGACATTTTAAGAATATCATGATGTTAACCCGCTGAGAACTCATTACTCTGACATGGACTATGCAGGTCAAGCAATCTGACTCTGGAAGCTTTGAAGTCTGCTGTGTTAAAGAAGTTCACATCCCTGAATCATGTACCCATATGGAAGACAGAAAGACCAGAAAGCATAAGAGGAGGAAATGAGTTAAAAATTTACAGAATATATCCTGTAGGGTTGACACAGAGGCAGGCTTTATATACCTTCAGCTTCAGAGGAAATGCTGATTTTAGAAACCACTTGGAAAGCAATCCATGTTCCAAGTTTGAAGTCATATTTGTGTAGCATTGTTATTTTATGCTCTCTCTTCCCTTTCTATGAATACCTAACACCACCTTCAGCTTCTCGTTGCAGGCATTGATATCTTAGAATCACTGATGGAGGGGTTTAGCTTTAGTACGCAAAAGAAAATGGAAGGAAAAAGGTGTCTGATTTGAATCAGGCGTGGCTTTTTCCCTCTTCTCTCCCAGTTATCTCAATGGGAAAGTAGATTTAGAAATGAGTCGAGAGGTGTGGCATTTTTAACCTCTTAATTAGGTGATAGAGGGATTTTTATTTTGACATCTGGAGGGAACCAGGCTTCATTTTTAAACTCATTCCGTGCATGATGAGAAGCTATATAAGGAAGATTCCTTTTGGATGTATTTAGTTGTTATGATTTGTCTAAATTATAACTATAATCTGAACATGTCCGACAGGTCCTGTATATTGTATCAAGGAATCGCTTGTTATTTCATGCGCCTTCTGATTGCTATTAGTATTATTACATACGTTTTTTTTTCCCACGAATATTCTTTAGGTGATTCTATTTTGTTTCAGTAGACATTTTCAGTTCTTGTCTCTAACTTGTATTTTTCCCCCCTTGGTACGTGTAATGTGTCGAGTTGTTTCGTTCTCAAAGATTTTGGAAGAGAAATTTGTTGTTACCGTTTTTGTTTCAATTCTTGAATCTATTTTGCCAACTAATTAAGTTATCATTACCTAAGAATAGATTTATTAACATGAGATAAATAGATATATACTACAAGAGAAGTAGAACGTGCTTGTTTGAAATCTAGACTGTTTTAAAATATATTTCACTTTACAAAGAATGTAGCAAGTAATAAAGATGATTTTTTGAAAATTCAAAACTAAATTTTTCAGATTAAATTTAAAAAAATTATAAAACATTGAACTTTCAAATTATTAACAAATTGTTGTTGAGATGGCAAATGGTCTCACTCTCGTAAGGAAAAGAACATGAGTTTGAATTATGAAAAATGCTCTTGTGGCAAAGTTGGTAAAGTAGGCTGACGGTGTGGGTTGAAGTAGCCCTATCTAAATTTCATAAATAATTAATTTAACTAATTTTTTTATCCAAATTTATTAAATAGGTCTTTTATGTGTGTCTATATGTAGATATCACATGTTTATTTAATCTTATAAAGGTGTGTATAGTAATGACAAATAGATGAAAAATAAAATATGAACGATGCTCTTTATATAACTACACACATATATAAAACGCTTAATTACATATGCAATGATATGAATGACAAAATGAGGCAATGTCCAGGTGGTATTTGAGAGTCAAAATCCTTCAACAATATTATATAATATATTAGGAATTTCATGAAAAAGTTTTTTAAAAAAAAACAGTGCAGGCCAGAGTAATCCCCATTCGTGGGCTGGCAAAATGCCAACCCGAGTCTGTCTTTTTTGACAAGCTGGCGGGTTAGGCCTTGCTGGTTCTACTGAGTGGGAAGATCTTAACCTCTACACTCTCGGTTCGATAAAGATTATTCTCAAGTCCAAAATGATTTGAGGATGCCCTAAATTATACTAAAAAAATTTCAAATTAAACTAATATACAAATGAAGATGGTGTATTCATTTAAAAATATAAATAGAAATAATATGAAGATACGAAAAATCTCATTGAAGTAATTCATAGTCAATTCTTCCAACTTAGTATGAAACAAAAGAGTTAAATTGGTAATTTTCTGTTCGCAACAAAACGGTACTTTTCTAAACTTTGAATTTTATAAGCCAAATTAACGAGGAACTAATGAGAATTGAATCTAACAGAAAGAGTTTGTTCTTTATAAATTAGTGAATTAAAGTTTAGATTCTCGCTAAGAGAAGTATCTATATTTAGTATCCAACAGTATCTTAAATAAGATGACTTCCAATAAGAGAATATATGCACCAAAAAACACTTTTAAATCTGGAATATTCAACCTTGTTACAATGCGCAAGCAATCATGTCATCATGTCAGCTAAAGATTGTTTCAAGTTGGTATTGGCCCCAAAAAAAAAAGTAAGTTGCAAGTTGGTAACATATACTTGAGTTGCGTCATTCCATCACTTTTGAGATTAAGACTTGAATAATCAGATTATGACTAATTGTGGAGATTTGTAAATTATTTTTCAAAACACCCTCATTTAATATGACAGCAGCAGCTCTTGTCTGATCCGTGGATGAAGTTAGTACCGCAAGGGAAATGGGTGAAAGATAATATTATTCTCTGAGGTTCTTTTATTGCACGATTTAAAAAATAATTAAAATTAATTATATAGCACGTATTTATAAAGAGTAAGAGAAAGAAAGTATTAAAAAAACATAATAAATTTTTTAATTAATTAGAGATAAAAAAAGAATAAAAACACATTAAATATTCAAACAAATATAAGTAGGATCTTATAGAAAAAAATCAATATAATTCAAATTTCAGACTTTTATAAACAGTGAAGGGAGTATTATTTATAATTTATGGATTGGAGAAGTCAAGTGGTTCACGTCCTTGCATTGCCAGGGCCACTACTAGGGGAGGGGCGAACCACAAACAAAAAGTCAAAAGGAATAATAATAAATAAATGAAATAAAACTTTTGCCGCTTCCGTATTTGGTGTGCATGTCCCTTAGATTATTGGAAGTTTTATTTATTATCAAATTTACATAAAATGTTGACATAATTCTTATTTAATAAATCTAATTAATTAATTATAATTGCAAAAGACCATAACACCCTTCCTCCCTTTCAAGAGGAAAAATTGCGAACAACCGACACAGCACCGGCACAGACACGGTGCATCCTCCCAATCCTGTGATCTAAGATGTTAAATCCCACATCTTAAGACACAGATAGGTAAATCTCCCGAATCTAACATATAAAAAATTAATTAGTACATTACTAATTATTTTTTATAAAATATAATAATCTATATAAGTATTTTAGAGATATCATATAATATAGTTATAATTAAGTAATTCGGTAACTTTTTTAACTTCTCTAAATTACTCAATAGTAATGAGTCTTATATTTAGAATTAGAAGAATATTTTATTGTTCACTTTGAAATTTGTGATTTTTCATTCATTTATTCAATAAAATTTTCAAAACATTGCATGAGAGTTAATCTAGTTAAAACTAATTCAATGCCTTTTTTTCGTTTCATATATTGCCAACAATATATTTAAAAGAAAATGCTAAACATATACGTATATAAATAAAATAATATATGTTGGCAAAAAAATAAACACACTAATACATATACACGCAAAATATCATTCTTCACTGAAAACATTAAAAAAAAAAAAATCTTATCCCATTTGTTGTCCAATTGTGCAAAACTAAAAAAACGTGAAGAATCGCCGAAAATGATTCTCAAAAGCGAAAAAATAATGGCAAGATGACGATGAAACAAGAAGGCAATTCTGTGGTCGAACCACAAAACAAGGACGACCCTTAGCCTCATCGAAAGGTCCTTCCATCTCACAAAGGAGCTCTTGCTCGCTTCTAAGGTCCTGCCTCTCTTTCAGCCTCTCGTTCCTACAAAAATGACCTCTTTTCTCTCTCACACCCATTTCTGTCATCACCCCAAGCTTCTGTTTGACACACTCTCTGCTTTCAAATGGCTTCTTCTTTCTCTGTTCGTTTTCTCTCTCCTTCCCTTTCTTCTCGCCCCAAGCCGACATGGGTGATCTCTGCAACTCCGGCGACGACGACTCAGGTTGCTTCTCCGCCGGAGGTGGATACGTCGAGGTTAGAGCCTCGAGTTCAGGAACAAGATGGGTACTGGGTTTTGAAGGAGAAGTTCAGGCAAGGCATCAATCCTCAAGAGAAGGTCAAGCTCGAGAAAGAACCCATGACGCTTTTTATGGAAGGTGGAATAGAAGAGTTAGCTAAGATGTCTCTTGAGGAGATTGAGAGCTCTAAGCTTACCAAGGATGATATTGATGTCAGGCTCAAATGGCTCGGCCTCTTCCACAGGAGAAAGCATCAGTGTAAGTTTCACTAATTCTCAACCTTTGAGGACATGCTATTATATAATTGATTGTTATTTGTTCGAGCTTATATTTCCGAGGTAACTTTTTACTCATACACGGTCAATAATTAATGTTAGATCAATGAGACTGAATTTTCTGAATGGGGTAACAGCGACACAACTTTTGTTTCTATTTGTTTGGCTTCAGATGTATAGAACTTATATGAAATTCATGATTCTTAAATTACTCCTTCTTATCTATTGCGGATTCAAGTATGTGCCAGGTGTGAATTAAAAAATGTGTGAGTCAGCTTCTGTTATATTCTAGATTATTTTTTTTCCGAGGTATAATGACGGCATTGAAATCATTTTCATGGACGGGAACCAAAGAGAAAATGTAGCTATATCTCAGGGATTAAAAATCGAAATTTTCCTCCAAAAGAAATGCTATATAGCAAGAAATATTTATGTTTCTGAAGTGAATATTTCCATTTCAAAATCAGATGGTAGATTCATGATGAGGCTGAAACTTCCGAATGGGGTGACAACGAGCGCCCAGACAAGGTACTTGGCGAGTGTGATAAGAAAGTATGGGAAAGAAGGGTGTGCTGATGTGACAACAAGGCAGAATTGGCAGATACGAGGTGTGGTGCTGCCCGATGTTCCAGAAATCCTCAAAGGCCTCGCAGATGTTGGATTGACAAGCCTCCAAAGTGGCATGGACAACGTAAGAAACCCCGTGGGCAACCCTCTTGCAGGCTTTGACCGAGATGAGATTGTTGATACCAGGCCTTACACCAACTTGTTGTCCCAATTCATCACTGCTAATTCAATTGGCAACCCAACCGTCACAAACTTGTGAGTTCTAGTGCCACTTTTAGAGTTTCTTGTGTATAAACTTATGATCTATCACAGAGTTGCAAGTTATAGTGCCGCTTTTGAATGTTGTAATAATTTGAACAGGCCAAGGAAGTGGAATGTCTGCGTAGTGGGGTCCCATGATCTTTATGAGCACCCGCACATTAATGATCTGGCTTACATGCCTGCTGAAAAAGATGGTCGATTTGGGTTCAATTTGTTAGTGGGTGGTTTCTTTAGTCCCAAGCGATGCGCAGAGGCAATTCCACTAGATGCATGGGTCTCAGCTGATGATGTAATACCTTTGTGCAAAGCTGTTCTTGAGGCCTACAGAGACCTCGGCGCCAGAGGAAACAGACAGAAAACCAGAATGATGTGGTTGATTGATGAACTGGTAATTTTATCACTTCTACTTATCTTACTTCCCTGTAATGTTCATTACTCGACTAAATGTATTATGTTCATGTTTTGTTCAAGCGGTTACATAATATCCTTTACAAACTCTGACAGGTGCCCACCAGTCACAACAATTTTTTTTTTTTTTTTGAAGCGCCAATGTCAAAGTAACCGACAAGTTACTAAGTTGACAATTTGGAACTTAGACTGCATGCATTTGCTGGAGAAGATTTATCCTTCTTGCTTCAGAAGCTCAAAAGCTTTAAATTTAAGAGGATCTAAATCCTCCTGCAGCATAAAAATATGTGTATCAAGAAGATTGTGAAGTATAACATCTAAAATGTCCTTGTGTGTTGGGAAGCATTGTGTCGAGTCTAACAGAATTGCGTGCTTTGAAATTGCAGGGGATAGAAGTATTCAGGGGAGAAGTGGAGAAGAGAATGCCAGGAAAGAATCTGGAAAGAGCAGCTCCGAAAGACTTGGTTCAAAAACAATGGGAAAGAAGAGATTATCTAGGTGTTCATGCCCAGAAGCAAGAGGGCTTAAGCTATGTGGGGCTTCACATACCAGTAGGTAGAGTGCAAGCAGATGAAATGGACGAGCTTGCTCGTTTAGCAGAAGAGTATGGCACTGGTGAACTCAGGTTAACAGTGGAACAAAACATCATAATCCCCAATGTAGAGAACTCAAAACTTGAAGCCTTGCTCAAAGAGCCGCTTTTGAAAGACAGATTCTCACCTGAACCATCTCTTCTGATGAAATCACTGGTTGCTTGCACTGGGAATCAATTCTGTGGGCAAGCCATAATAGAGACAAAAGCAAGGGCCTTGAAGGTGACTGAAGAAGTTGAAAGGCAAGTGGCTGTGACAAGACCAGTGAGAATGCATTGGACAGGGTGCCCTAACACTTGTGGGCAGGTTCAGGTGGCGGATATAGGGTTCATGGGATGCATGACAAGGGATGAGAATGGTAAGGTTTGTGAAGGTGTGGATGTCTTCTTGGGAGGCAGAATTGGGAGTGACTCACATTTAGGAGAAGTGTATAAGAAGGGTGTCCCCTGTAAGGACTTGGTGCCTCTAGTGGCTGACATTTTGGTTAAGCATTTTGGGGCTGTCCCAAGGAATAGGGAAGAAGGAGAAGAATGAATGAATGGTATTGTGGTGATTGTTCAGTTGTTAACCAATCTCTGTGAAAGATGGATCCTTGTGAGGGAAGTTATAGAGATGTAGTATACCAGCATTAAGTAAATGCCTTTGTTTGTTTTAGTCTTGTACAATTGAAATTCTATTTACTCTGAAATAAAGGTTGCAGACCTTGTATGGTCAAGGTTAACTAATTCTTTTAGTTCTTCAAGTTCTCTTTAAGTTTTAATTTAGTTATTATAAAAATAGACATCTTAATCTGGATGAAAAATTTCTGCCTATGCATACTTAATGTGGGAATGCGTGAACCTATACTCTTACCCACTGTGTTTTTTTGACTTGGAGTTGTTTATTTGCGGCTTTTCCGTACCACTCCAATATGACAAAAATCTAACTCCCAAGCAGCCATCAGAATGCAAAAGCATAATTATATTCAAAGATGTTGCTTTATCTTATCCCAAACATTTGAGAAAGATTTTAGATTTTGTAAGTCTAATTCTTTTTTCTGTAATACTGAATCATGATGCTGGTAAAAAAAAAAAAAATTGTGAATCATGATGCTTTTCTTTCCATCTGCCAAGCAAGTTATTTATCTCATCTTCTTTCCTTTACAGTGATAGTAAATGATGGAAAAATCAGACATTTCTTTTTCAATTCACTAGACTGTTTGGGTAATTCATTCATTGTTTGACATCAAAATTAATATTTGAATGTTACAACTTATTTCAGCGATTTTGGGATGAGTTTGATAAGCATCCAAACTCATCATATATGAACTATCTAAATTTAATTTTCGTTTTAATTTTTTTAAAATAATTATTTTAACAGGTATAAAATCTAAAATAAAGATAATCTCTTAATTATATTTGTTTTAAAAAAATATTTTTATTTAAAAATAATTAATTGAAAATTTTAAATTTGGACTGTCTAAATTTAATATAGATAGTTCAGATCTGCTAAGTTTGTGTGTCTATCACTCGCGGTGAGTATGTAAACCAGATCTAGGAATATGGCATTCTATTTAGTTTGATTTTTTTGTCCAACTTCATTCCCCCTGCATTTATAATTGATTATTTTAAATGTATAATTCCCCCTGCATTTAAATGCATGATAAATCTATTCCTATAAATACAGGCGCAACATGCTTATTCTAATGACTAATGACGGAATTGGGCCAAGTCCTTTGGATTGGGCTAATCTCTTTCTTCATTTTCTATTGGGCCAGTGGTCCTCAATAAGGCATGCTTCCATGAAATTGAAAAATAAATCAATGAAAGAATGAATGTAAGAAACGTTGCTGAAAAAATTTTTCTCTATCACAAAAGTTACATCTTTCCAAAGTGGATTCCCTAACCAAATTAGCTTATGATATGGAAAGGAATTTTTGTTTCATTGACATGAGGGAAACTAGTGCCTTTTCTTCTTTTTGAAGATAATAAATTTTATAATGGAAAATTTTTCAGCAATTTTTTGATAAACAAGAGCACGTAAGAACTCAAATAAATAAATCAGAAACTTTTCCCATCATTTTAATGAACATTAAAATTGAAAACGACGCTTGCATTATTGAGTATATAATATATGCATGCAGTTTCCCAAAGTCTAAAGAGATCAATCTCATTAAATTATATTTACTACTTTGCATTAAATTATGAAACGTGACGCAATGTAAGTGTGTGTGTGTGTGTCTATATATATATATATATATATATATAATCAAAATATTTGTGGCCTCTAATTTTTCCCTATCAAAAATGCAAACTCACGAGTTGGCAATGCACATACAAAATTTTCAACCAATAATCTACCAACTTGCAGCGCCGTCCGAATGGTCTACCACTCCATACCGATCGATCAGCAAAATATCAGCCAATAAATGAGACTAAGATATGACTGAGAAATATTAATAATAAATTAATATGTGTGTGTCCGTGTGTGTGATCCAACAATTGAATTTGGACCATATATAACGTTATTTTTTAAACCAAAACGAACCGATCAGAAGAAGCACACTCTGCATAATTATTACCCAAAAAAAAAAATCAGATTGAGGCGTCCATATATGCTAATTCTTGTTGATAAATCCGTTGTTGTATTATATTGTGTTGTCCGAAACCTGATGAAGACCACTTCCAATAGGGTGTGAGATTAAAGGGCAACCATACATTTTCCAATTGGAACATTTATTTGGCAGCATTAGATGTCAAAAGGGCCAGCACAAGTGTTCTTTATAAATGCCCTAGAACTTATTTCACTGATCAAAACTTTGGATAAGTAGTTCAGTTTTCATATATGGTTTAAAATGGTGGTAAAGCACCTAATATTACATCTGATCCTTGATATAAGACTTAATTAACTAATTTACAGAAATTTAAAATGTTACTAAATTACTTAATTATAACATATGTTAAATGATCTCTAAAATACTTGTGTATATGATTAGATTATATATCGATTTATAAGTTAGCCAAATTAATTTTAAGAAAACGATAAATATAAATATTTTTAAGTAATTTAATAATTTTTTTAATTTTTTCAAATTAATCAACTGGATCTTATATTAAAGAGAAGAGATTGTAACTTCAAAACCATGCAAGTGATTCATTTATGGTAAGATTTGAATCCATGACCACATTCTTACGAACTTTTGTTGGCTAAAGTGATTATTATTTAGAGCTTCAAAACGTTATGATTTCAAATATAAATCATTTTTAACTATCTCATAACCCTTTGTGCGTACTAATAAAAATAGTTTAAAACATTAGGTTTGTCATAAAATTAAAATAATTTTCAATACTATCCGTATAAATTACACTAAGACCAGAAATACTTTCTTGAAAAAAAATACCCAACATATGATATTGGTAATTATGTGAATAAACCTACATTGTTCAAAGTTACGCACACAAAGTAAAAGAAATATATGAAGTAGACTAAATAGTGACAAAATTAGATTAAAATCCCCCTGCATTAACCCCTTTGCCGTATCACAAACATATCCACCGACCTCAATAAAATACGTGATTGATGCAAGGCGCCTAATTAAGGCGACAAATGAATTAACATCATTATCATATAGAAAAAGGCTAATATATTTTTTTATCCCTCAAGTTTACCCTCAATTTAGTTTTGGTCCCTCAAATTTTAAATTATGGGTTTTAATTTTTTTGTAAAAATTATTTACAGCATTGATCCTTATAACTCAATAAAAACTTGGGCAATTTTGTCTCTTGAGTCTTGAGAGACTAAAACCTATAGTTTGTAACTGGAGAGACCAAAACCAAAATGAGAACAAATTTAAAAAACCAAAAATTATATTAATCCTATAGAAAAGTAAACTAGTTTTCCTAATCAAATATGAAAACTCAAGAGAATTTAATTTTTGAAAAAATAACACACACACACACGCACTCTCTCTCTCTCTAGCCTGCAACTTGAAATCATTTTAAAAACAAAAACTCAAAGCTTAGAGATTAGAGTAAGATAAAGAGGAGAGGTAGGGGAGTTGAGAGAAGACAAAAGGGGCTTTATTTGGCGGATATGGGTGTGTCTTGTTTTGGTAAATATGAAGTAATTATTAAGGCTATCTCTTTTTTGGATTTTTGGAATCACTCCGATATATCTCCCCCAGATCTTCTCTGATTATTACATTTATTTCTTCATATCTCCTTTTGACTGCATCAGCATCCATATCCTCCTCCTTGTCTTTATTCTCATATTCTTCCTCTGTATGTTCTCAATTCCAATCTTTCCATATATCATTTCTCTCATGAAAAAAATAATATTTAATTTTCTTAAAAAAATTGAAAAGTGGATGGTAGTGCACGGGTCAGATTATCAGTTATCTCGTTAGATAAGATGAGTCTAAAAGAAGATAGAGGAGAAAGTTGACAAGCAAAAACCGTTTTATTAGATGTATCATGTTGGAGTTATGTAATAGAAAATGCAATTTAGAAAGTAATTTAATCCTGACAGAATCAAAGGTTGTTTTTCCCCCCTCGTAGAGGAAAAGAAGTAGTATACCACAGAAAGCTTTCATGTAAATAGTACTAATTACTAAAAAGATGGTAATCATATCGAGTTGAAAACACAAAGTGGCTCATTCGTACGATAAAATTTAAGAGCTATATATTCTGTGGTTGCATCCTTATTTGTTTTGTGTGTGCGTGTGTGTTTTGCTTTTGCCTACAATGATATGAGTGTGGCTAACATGAGACAGCAATAATTATTTGTTCGAAGAAAGCAGATAAAATATGATATATGAAAATTTCATAAAACAATGGTGACAAAAGATTTCTTTTTCCTTTTATATAGGTGGTTTTGAGAAAGCCATGATTTGATTCTAGAGCAATAATTAGTATCATGACCCTTTCAAACTTTTTTAGAAGAATAATAGTAAAGGTTATAATCTTGAGTGATCAAGTTCAACATCAAAATCATTAAAACAATTTTAAAATTAACTTGTTTCAGAGCTCATCTTTTATATTTTTTGTTCGTTTTCATAATTTTAGCACTCAATTTTCCTTTTTTTCTTTTTAGTTTTCACCTTAGATGTTCAGGATTCATATTTCGTGTTTTTAGTATTATTGTCAACTGAAAACTTTAAAATTTTCAAATACCCAAAAAAAAATCATGATCTTTGGCTTCAGCGCTCGTCTTTCACAATTTCAGTATTCAGTTTTTTTTTAAATTTCTTTTGGTATTCATCTTAGATGTTTTTCAATACTCATATTTCAGTATTAAAATAAACAAAGATAAGTGTTGAAAAATATAAGAGATAAGCTGTTGAAAACATAGAAGATGACCATTGAAGAAATTAAAATATATTGAAGATGCTAATGATATATATTTATAAGTATTAAAAATGTGAAAGATGAGCATTGAAAATATAGATAATTGATGGAAAGCAGTAAAATTTTAATTCCAACCAAACCTTCGAGTTTTTTTACTAGTCGACCAAGTGTAACTATTGAAAAGATAACATTTGACTTCCCTTATTTTAAAATATTACTGCCTTTGATCCATAATGTAGTAGTTAAATAACTAGCTTATAAAGATTAATTAAAAATTAGATAAATTAATTATTTGTTAAAAATGTATATTAGTTTTCATAAAATATCATTTTTAATAATTTGCATTCAAACTAGCTACCCTTCAATGAAATTTAGCGTATGTAATCAATATATAAATAGTTA